TCAGTATGTCGAGGCGTGACTATTCGAGACGAAGCGAAAAAGAGTGTATGTCGGGGTTGTCTCGGGGAATCACAGGGGCTCCAACGTGCATGAATTCGAATGCAGCGGACGAACACATGATGCGGCCATTGTGATTGTCACACGTGCGATGCTGAATCTGGTCGCGTGGCAACTGGGCACGGGTTGATTGTTAGCTGCTCATCGTCCCAGTCCTTAGCGCCTCTCATTGTCATCTTCATCTCGCTACTGTATCCAAATACTCATACTAAGGTCCCTCTCGGTTGTGTTGGCTAATATGAGCACTGAAACCATCAATCAGCTAATATCTGTCCGAACCCTACAACGCACAGACACTGTGCGCCGCAAAGTAATGCCGCTCGCACGCTTGAAGCCTATGCTATGTTCATGTTATCGTATCTGGGTGACGAGACAACCTCCGTGAGAAGGTTAGCGACAAACTCATAGTTCTTACGACTATCGTAATCGTTAATTCTGTGAGTGTTGCTAAAGTGGCATACATTTGCAGGATGTAGTTGTTTGTAGGCGCTTGTGCGATCGTTACTGTTACCACGCGGGTCACGTTCCGGATTGAGTCGCCTCCAGCCAGGCTCGAATAATACCGGCATCTTGTGATCTGCAATCGCGCGGGTACGGTTATTTTCAGGAATATCCCTTCCTAGCATCATGGTGTTCGCACGTTCGGCATTACTATCGACGGTCCTATTATATGTGATAGCCTCCCAACGCACCCTGTTGAGACTATCCCATCGCGGAAACTCACTCGATGTTCGTCTTCTACCGGATATGGTTGCGCAGGCATTGACCGCATCTGATGGAAGGAAACGTTTCCTCAGCCAAGACGACCTCGAGTGTGAACGATGCTTCACGCAGGATGGTATGGTCTATGACTTGAAGGCAATAGGGGTCCAGATTGTAGAGTCGACATGCTCAGTTGGTCACAACAGTATTCTGAACTACTTGAAAAAGGCCGCAGATGTGCTGGGCATCGAATTCGATTGCGAGCCCGATGTGAAGATCATCCTGGATCCTATGCCCAGTATGGTTCAAGCCTCAGCTACTTGTACTGGTGGCAATCCTGTTCTCGGCACCAACGACCCCGGCTCTTCTTGTCAGCGTTA